ACCTTGTTAGCTTGCCTGTGGTTCTTTCCTTGATTTCACATTATAGTCTGTCTAGAATTGGCTTAAATAAAACCCAGTGTTTTTGTGAAGCTGTACTGTTCCAGTCTTCTGGTCTACCAGAATTTGAGTGTGCAACTCTGCCATAGCAATGCACCACAGAGGGATGCCCAGCAAGGTCTTTGTCTTTGTGATTCTGGCACTTCTTGTTTCTCTGAGGACTCTAGGTGACCATTGCTTCCTCTGGCTTCATATGATTTGCCCCCTGCCTACCTCAGGTCCCTGCCTGTTGTTCTTGTTGTTTCAGATGGGGCCCACACAGATAGCCTCATTTTGATTTATTTCTCAGAAGATGGTGTTCTCAAATACAGTTAAATTCTAATATATGAGTGTGTAAGTACTTAATAATGAATTTGAAGAATATATTCTGTCCTTGATAACCCATAGAACTTATTCTCCCTGCTTCTAGTCTATTTGCATGTTAGAATATTGGTCCATGGGCTGGTGAATATGCTCTGTCTGTCTCCAGCCATTAGGAACAGTCAGAAGGTTTGAATCACTTTCAGTTCAGAATCTGTAATTGAGGGAGAACTGGATAGCTTTATCTTGTCTCCATGGGGGCAGTGACAATGAGCGGAGTAGTAGTTCTCAACCTATGTGTCCTGACCCCTTTGGGGGGGATTGAATGATCCTTCCACAGGGTTTGCATATCAGATATTTATATTAAGATTCATAATAGTAGCAAAATTGCAGTTGTGAAATAGCAACAAAATAATTGTATAGTTGGGGGTCACCACAATATGAAGAACTGTATTAAAAGGTCGCATCATTAGGATGGTTGAGAACCACTGGACTGGAGGAAGGCTCTTAAGTAAGGGCAGCAGACATTACTGGAGGCAGATGCTCCAGTGTTCATCGGGAGGAGGAGTGTGGCTGATGAGAAGTGTCTGCCCATCTCAGTGGACTTAGCTGAAACCAAGAACTTGAGTTGGTTATGAGTCATTTTGGAGCCTGGTAGCCATGCCAACCTCAGACTGAGTACTTCAAAGGTCTGCTTCTTCACTAACAGAAAAAGCAGTTCATTTATGGAGCTCAAGTTTGATTGCAGTATTTTTCTTTTAAAGCTATGCTAAAATTTTCTGAACGCTACACTAGTTCATGATCAGAAAGCTGTGAGCTCCTAGTGACCACGGACTGGGCCATGAGCTGATGAGCAGGCTCATGTAAGAGGAACCCTAGATGTTGGTCTGCATCTTTGAAGAATGATTGGGTTAGGTGTAAGGTGTAGATGAAGGGTCTGTGGACCAGGCTTTGAAGGGAAACAGGTCTCTGATGTTCATGGGGCTAAACTGAGGTAACATTTTGCTTGCAACTGCCTACACTGGTGCAGAAAAGAGAACAAACTTCCCTCCAGCTCCTTATACAGATGGAGAGAGAGAGAGAGAGAGACAGAGAGAGAGAGAGAGACAGACAGAGAGAGAGAGAGAGAGAGAGAGAGAGAGAGAGAGAGAGAGAGAGA